GCATTCAATTAAAGGTTGAAGGAGCTATTGGAGAAACTGACATATCTCAACCTCTTATAAATTTGATAGAGTACGCATACACCTAGTTATAGAAGAGTTTATATAATTGTGGTAAATGATTCGTTGGCATGGAGTAATCATAGTATACCAGATATCGGAAGCCATGGTAGGCCCTAAAGGCTACAACATGGTTGGAGTATATGGAGAGTGAAATTTAGTCCATGTATGTTGAAACTTGGTAGATCAAGCAGTTGGCCTTAACCATTAGGCGTAAATGGATCTTCAAGAGGAAACAAACATGGATAGGAAAAGACATATAATCAAACCAAGATAGGTTGTGAAGGATGTGTAAGCTTGATAAGTTCATTTTTGGGCTGAAATAAGCATCTCGCAATTGGAATCTTTATTTCAATGAGAAAGTTGAATTTCAAGAAAGGAAGATGAGGGATATATATATATATTATATATATAATATATATATATATATATATTATATATATATATATATATATATCTATATATATATATAATATATATATCTATCATCAAAGCTAGTGGGACTATTGGAATCTTTTATCTCAATGAGAAAGTTCAAGGAGTTTGAATTTCAAGAAGCATAGATGAGCCATATATATAAAAATATAGCTAGGTTCAAATGTGGATATATATATATATATATAGTATATATATATATATATATAGATATATATATATATATATATATATATATATATATAGATATATATATATATATATTATAGGCTTAGGTTATTTTGTTTTTCTAACTATTGTGCGCCAGAATGCACGGATCTGGACCACCGGATGAATAGAATCAACAATCATGATTGAGGGTCTATGATATTACAATAGGGTAGCATGTATCATATAATCACACAAATTTCAACAAAAGGGTATTTTGGTCAATTAACCTATTTTTTTAAAAAAAATCGGCATTTTTCAGGATCATTATTCCCTTATTTTTAAAAAATCCGAATTTTTATATTAATTCTAATTAAATTTTTAATATTCCTTTATAATAACCGATTTTATTATGTCCGAATGACAAAAAGTCAACATAAACTAGTAAATATATTTGTGGTTTTGTTCTTGCAGAATATTGTTTCGTTCAAGATACTTTTTATATTAAACATTCTTAAAGAATTATACAACATATTATCATGAATAACATTTTATAAAGAATACGGATTTATTCTTTAAGAATCACTATTTACATTCATCCGTAAAGAAAAAGACTATAAAAAATTATTACAATCATTTTAAAAAAATTATGACTAATAATGGTGTAATGATTACATTTATTCTTACAGATTAAAACTAAAAATAGTTTAAAAAAAACATCAAAATCTAACAAAAACACTAGTCTATTCCGAAAGAATATTATTGTTAAGAAACAATTTATAAAATCTGACAGAATACATTCTGTTAGAATACAATATCGTTCTCTATGTTTCTTCATTTCCACATTAATGGCAACCTCTTCAAACCTAATTCACAAAGAAAACATAATCAACTTTCAATATTAAAAATTTTAGTGCGTTAAATAGAATAAAACATAAATTCTAATAGAATGTGATATACATTCAAATAGAATATAACTATAATTTCTACAAACCAACATTAACAATCATCCCTAAACTTGCAATGTATATTATTCTGACAGAATACACACAAGTTTTATCTTATATTGTAATAGAGATTATAAATTTTTTTTTATAAAATAAAAACACCAAAATGCATTTATATAAATAAATTCTGACAAAATACAAGCATTACTTATTTAATGGAAACGATATAATGGAGAATGATAGCATCTTTTACCAGAATGTTTTTAATTTCCTATCTAACAATGTTTTTTACTTTTCCTATCTTGACAAATAAGAAGATTGAAATCGAATTCTGATGAGAGTTTTGACAGAATACATACAACATGACCATATTCTCTTTCAGACATTGCCACAAACACCTTTTGTGCAACATATATAAATAATAGAGAATCAAAAGCCTAAAGTATATAAAAAAAATATACCCTTTCTGATGCGAATTTAAGGGAGTGTACAACTTAGCAAAACTTAACATCCATTAAAATAGGTTGCTTCATCAATTAGGGTTTAAGAAAAAGGGGCTTCATCAATTAGGGTTTAAGAAAAAGGGGTTAACGTCAATAATTTTTAAGATTTATTCTTATGAATAAACGTGATTATAACAATGGATTTTACATAAAGATTTTAATTATAACTATAATTGATGAGATAATAAGAGGAATCAACTATTATTCGAATTATATCACTAATCTATGAAATTGTTTTTGTCCAGAATTATAAAATTTACGTTACTGATTACCTGGATTTGCAACTTGTCATTGATTTCTTCAATTACTTCTTCCTCAGCAGCGCTAATGGAGATGGAAGTGCTGGTGAAGGCTTTTAAACTCACTCGTGTCTCGTTTTTTTCTTTTGCCGTCGACTGATCCTTTAGGGTTGTTCGATTGTGGAGGCATCGACATACCCATTTTGAGGATGAATGATAACGTAGTGAAACGATGTAGGGATTTAAATGCTATTTAAGGGAAATTGACCCATTATTTTAGGGATTATAATTTTGGAATATAATTTATTGTACATACATAATGACTAAACTACCCTTTATTATTCAACTATTGATTTTTTTTCCCTAAATTTCTATCGGTGTATTCATGCACATAATACTTGTTAGAAACATTTGAATCTATATATATATATATAGAATTATATATATATTTATATAGATATAGATTATAGATATATATATATATAAAAGTATGAACGTGCCACTTCGTTGATCAAAATGACTTAAATTTTTTTTTTTAAATGATCATTTTTTTAAGGATATCACAGGCATCTCCTATGAAATTCATCACTATTTTTAGATTTTTGATAAAAAAAAAATATATATTTTTGGAAACACCTTATTTTGATTAGCCTAAATTGTCATTTTTTTCACTAATTATAATTTCACTTGCAGTTTATGAAACTACTCTGTATCCTCAAAACTCTTAAAATGAAATGTTAACAAGCAAAATATATATATATATATATATATATATATATATATATATATATATATATATATATATATATATATATAATATATATATATATAAAAGAACAAAAAAAAGTTGTAGGAATTTATTTGAAGTCAAAAAAATAAAAGAAATAAAGGGAATAACCAAATGAATGAGAAAGCATTTTGACTTTTGACTTTTGTTTGAAAGATGGTTGACTAGAAGCAAGCAGGTGATGGTGGATTGGTGGTGGTGTATGGCGTGCGCTTTACTTGAGAGACATGTAGGAACAGGCACCCAGTCTCTGCACCTGCACACCCCATATCTTTCCTCACTCCTCACATCACACGCCAAAAACACTTTTCACCTTTCTTGCTTTTTTTTTCCTTTCTTTTAATTTTACTCTTCAAAATAAAATATTAATTTTAGTAATAAAGAGTTTAGTAAATTACAGTCTTGGTCCCTATGGTTTACAGGGTTATAAAACTTTTGGTCCTACTTTTTGAAAAGCAATACTACTAGTCCCTATGGAGGGTTTTCATAACATTGGTGGTCCTCCTCTCTGACAACCTTAACATAGGAGCTGTTAAACATTTCAAAAAGACAAAATTGCCCTTCTACCATTGCTTCCACCACCACCTCCACCTACATGCCACCATCAACATCACCAATCTGTAATCATCACAGTCTCCAACCACCATCGTCATCACCAATCACCACCACCATAACACCACACTTACTGCAACCACCCTCACAACCACCATGCCCTTCTTCATCATTGGTTTGATATGGTCAAGGACTTACTTTATAAACAGACTCGGTGGGGGTTGTTGTGATGATAGTGTCATAAGCAGTTGTGGATGATAACCGGTAACTGGAGTGAACATAATTTTCTCGTCGGAAAATACCGGTGATGACTGATGGTGGTGCTAGCAGGTGGTGATAGTTGTGGTTGTGTGGCAGTAGGATGGTGGTTTGTGGTTGTAAAGGTGGCAAAAGAAACAATGATGGTGTGGCAGTGGTATAGTGGTTGTGAGCGTGGTGGCAACATGTGTAGTGTTGTGGTGGTGGTGATTGGTGATGATCGTGGTGGTTGGATATGTGGTGATTGGTGATGTTGATGGTGATTGTCGGTGGTGGGCTGATGGTGGTAAGTGGTGGTGGAAGCAGTTGTAGAAAGGCAATTTTGTATTTTTAAAATATTTAACAGCCCCTTCATTAGGTTTGTTAGAGAGGATGAGCACCGGTGTTATCAATACCCTCCATAGGACCAGTGGTGTTACTTTTCCAAAAATAGGATAAAAAATGTTATAACTGATAAAACCATAGGGACCAAGACTATAATTTACTCTAAATAGTTTAGATTATGCTTAGTTGGCAAACATTGTCCACGTGGCATCCAAGTCATCATATCAAAAGGTCATGCTGGTATAATTTAAATAATTTCTACCAATATAAGAAATAGAGTATAAAAACCTTGTGGATGACGAATTTTGAGTAAATTATATTTTTGGTCCCTGAGTTTGCTCAAAAGTTACAGTTTTGGTACCAAATAGTTTCCTTTTGCAACTTTGGTGGCTAGATTTAATAGTTGTAACAAATTTAGTCCCTGAGTTTGTTTACAAATTTTATTTTCAATAGTTTCCTCTTGCAAACTAAAAAATGGGCACCGAAAAGAGGAAAATATTCACGACCAAAACTGATTTTTTTTTTTTTTGTAACAAACCCAGGGACAAAAATGTAATTTACTCTTTTGTTTTTGATAACCAAACCACACTAGTGACAAACCCAATCAAATTTTTGAATATGAGAATATGTATACATCTTTAGAAAAATCCTTAATTATCAGATATTTAACATATCTCCTTTTAGGTGTAAGTGTAGAAAGTAAAATGACAAATTTGCCACTAACATAATCAAGAATGAAGCATACATAACATCAACACCTATTTCCCACTAACATAATCAAGGAGATGTTTGTCAAGTTCAAAATGCCTGCAAAGACACACACATTCTACAAACCAAAAAAAAAAAAAAAGTTATTCCCATTAAAAAATATATTATATAAAAATAAAAAACAGAAAAATAAAAATACCTTTGTTATATCTGAAGATTTAGCGACAGAATTTATCTCAGGAAAACGTGAAATTTCTTCAGCGTTCTCAAATAAAATAAAAGTCGGGAGTTGATCGGGTATTCCTGTATATTGTTTCATTTCAATTATTAGATTTAAAAAAAAAAAAAGTAAACAAACTTAACACATGTTTATATATTTCTTGCATTTTAATTTTTTAACCCTAAAATTTATAGCAAATATCACGCACCTAAAGAGACCCCAAATCTTGCAGCTGTATTTGGGAAAAGCCCAAGATCAACCACTCCAAAAGATATATTTTTATTTGAGAAACTGTTGCACAAAAAATATATATAATCAGAATGATATTATTTATATATATATTTTTTAATTACCACAATCAAAATTATATAAATATACTCACGTAATTGATAGTTCAGGAAGAACACGACTCGTGCGTATACAAGTAGATGAAAACAAAGATCGAAATTCCACCTGCCAAATTTTTTTTAAAAAATGAAAAATAAATATTCAGATTAAATACACCAAAATATAATAATTTTTTCTGTATAAAATTTGATAACTTGTAGAATTGTGAAGCTAACCAGCCAAAATTTTGATGTGCCACCTTCAGTTAATAAAGCTTCTAACTGTAAGGGTGTTAATTGTGCTGAAGAGCCTGAAATTATATAAATTTTGGAGAAATTTGTAACACAAAACTTTAAATAAAATAAGAGCATATGTAAATGTAAAATTGAGTGTTTACCTAGTCCTGTGTAGGGAGGTTGTTGTGTGAAGATGTATATAACTATAAATAAATCAATGAAATGATTTATGTGTCAAGAATTTATTAAAATGAAGGAGAAAAAAAATATATTTTTTTTTAGAAATGAAACGTACCTAAGAATGCTAACATGAACCAGAGTGTAAGGTGATAATCCACAACTAATGAAATGCCAACAAGAAATATCTGGAAAATGTAGGTAAGATCATATGAATAGCAAGAAAATGTATCTATAATTGTTGATGTTAGTTGAGGGAGATATGAAGATCCATGGTGCATTTTAAAGGGTAAAATAGTCATTTTACCTTAGCAAATAACAGCATATCTGCAACAAAACCATCCCAGGTTTCTTCTTTCACCATCTGCAAAAAGCAGGAAAGTTGATTAAGTAACTATTTATTAACAAAATACTTCATCATTAGAAAAAGTAGAGTAACATTTTCTTCATGAACATTGTTCATCATGTCATATGCAACCTCACAATATGGATGTATTCGTATTATTTTTTCTTATATGATTGTGATCAGAAGGAAAAAGAACTTAATTTGTTAGTTGAACTCTTTCCCCTTTAGCCTTCCCATGATTTCAGAATTCAAAATCTTAAGAAGATTAGGATGTTCCCAAAAGAATGTGTCCTTCACTATTCCAATAAAAAGACCGACATTTTGATCTTTGATATCAAAGCAGAGGATTTTGTTGCAGAAGTAATAATAATGAAGTTCAAGCAGTTAACAAGTGGAAACCAAATTAAGGGCGTATGGGTTTCACAATTTCATGGTAACATTAGATGTGGTATAAAAGCTGTATACCTTGACAACGGTTAATGTAACGAAAGCAAGAAGCGCTTGAAGTTCCTGAAATCAATGAAAGATATTTGCAGATCGATACATTAATTAACCTGTGTAAGTGATAAAGAGAGACCTGAGGAAAGGAGATTGCTTACACGGCGGAGGAGGTGTCCGGCGAATTCAGGAGAAAATAATTGAGAAGTGGAGAATCTGATGGAGAAATAAGAGAAGAAGGTGAGGAAATGGAGGAGATAATAGGGTTCCGACACCATGGCGAACAGTATGTTCATTGTTATATCGTAATACTGAGTGCGATCAACCTCGGATTCACTGTTATTGGTGTTCTTCCCTTTCTTCCCCATGATTCCTAGGGTTTCAGATAGCCGGGAGGGGGGTTTCTGCCAAATCCGCCTCTGTAAATCTCAGATCAACATTGGAGCTAGTTGCAACTTGCAAAGACTCCCAACTTCATTACACTTTACTAATGATTTTTTGATGGACAAACTTTTGTCAAATATGTATTCACATACAATGATTTAAAAACAATTTGTTGTTTGTTTGATTTTTGTGTTTTTGTTAGGAAATATATACATGAAATATTCATTTATGAAATAAAAAAAATATCATGAAAGACGTAGAATAAATAATTTATTGGCTTATTGCCATTCAAATTGTTCATCTAGATACAAAACAAGCAACAATTTTCATTTACAATTTATTCAAACAAACCTCATAATGAGGAAAAAAAACAAATCCATTTAATTTTGCATTTAGGTTTTAACCCATGGGAAGATATGTGAAGTCATGGTGTCATTCGAGAAATCTAGTATATTTCTAAGGTATACTCAAGCAATCAAGTTAGATCATTGCGTAAAGAAGTTATTTTTAAGTGAAAATAAATAGTTATATCTAGTATCATCTTTTTTTTTTTT